GCTGGCTCCAGGCAGCAGCTGTTCCCCTCCTAATCATCTGCTGCAGTGAGCCATACTCCATCCTACCCTCTCTCTCCAGGTTGTGGGGGAGGGAAGCACAGGAGAATACAGGGCATATAGCAAAGCAGATGTGTTGTGGGAATGTGGGGCTGTGCTCCCCCTCCACGGTTAGAAGTTCTTCCCTGTCTGGCATGAGAGCTCCCCTCTCTAGTTTGAGCATTGGCCTGCTAAACCCAGGGTTGTGAGTTCAATCCTTGAGGGGGGGCCATTTGGAATCGGGGCAAAAATTGGGGATTGGTCCTGCTTTGAGCAGGGGGTTGGACTAGATGACCTCCTGAGGTCCTTTCCAACCCTGGTATTCTATGGTTCCTCCTTCAATACCTTTTCAACTCCTGTTCATGAAGACACCCAGATGAGGAGGGATGGGGAAGTCCTGAAGCTCACCTGCTCCCTGGAGAGAGCCCCAAGCTTTCCTTTGGGGAAAAAGGAGAGAAGCCCCACATCCACCCTCAGTGAGAAAGAGGGTGAGTGGAGATCTCCTGAGGATGCACGCAGGTAAGCGGAGCTTTAGGGATGGTGGAGTTTGGGGAAGGTGGATTATGGGGGAGGGGGACATCCCTAGAGTCAGAAAAGCATCCACATTCCTGAATATTCATCTGACACCCCTCCCCCAGACCATGGAAGGGCCTTGATAATACATATATTCAGCTTAAGAGCTGCCTACCTTTCACCAGAATCATGCATATGAAATTCCCCTCTCAGCACCTAGGGGACTGATGGCCTTTGATCCTTGTGTACTGGAGAGTTGTACCTGGAAAACGTCTTCAAATGTTGGCCCCTGTCTTAGAAGGAGCTGTGGTGGGTGCAAAGAGTGAGTGGTGGGCAGGGTGGACAAGTGCCTTTCAGAGAGATGGGTGCTCATTTATTAGCCAATAGCTGTATGGTGCTTATCAATTTATATATTCACTGTGTTTGTACAGCGTGTAGTATAACTGGGCCTCCTTCCTGGTTGGCCTCTGGGCAATACCTCAGTATAAATGTGAGATAATCATAATATACAGGTATGATTATTATGGGGACAGTGGTAAATAGACAAACTTCCTTCAGGTCCTAAGAGCTGCAAAGTGGAACCCTGGATGTCAGGAAGAGCTAGAGCAGCAGCAAAACAGGGTTTAAGACTCCCAAAGAGCCTTCCCCTGGGAGACTGGGTTTGCAGAGGTAGTTTAGTAACACTAAATATATCCAAAGTTATTGACTTTTTACCAAACTTGGTACAATACTATTTCATTTATCGGGGTCTCTCTCTCAAAATGCTTTACTGAGTTAGATGAGAAGTGGAAGACAGAAATTGAAGCAAGCGTAAGGCATATGTTTTTGGATGGTATAAAACGAGGGAGCGTTGAGGCCACAGAGAAACTGTTCCAGACAGTAGGAGCTGCAGAGGAGAAGGCTCTTGCATCAAATGCAGTAGGAATGTGAGAGGGAGCTGTTGCTAGATGTGAGAAGGGAATGGGCAGAGAACAGGCCCCCTGAGGTAGTCTGAAGCAAGACCATGAGGGGATTTAAAAACAAGGCAGGTGATTTTGAAGGGAATAGTGAGCCTGTGGGATTGTTTGAGGATGGGCATGATGTGGCTCTGCTTTGTTGTTCATGTGAGAAGACTGTCATCAGCCTTCTGCATATGCTGGAATGGGGAGAGCTGGAATTAGAAGCCTGCAGTCCAGGCTCAAAGCTGATAGAGGCTTGTCATCTTAATCACCCCCTCTGCTTTCGGTGCAGCTATTTTAGGGTGCCCGAATTGGGACGCTCGGCACCTGGCTCTCAGAAGTACTGTACACTCTGCTTAAACTCAGTGCTACTTAATTTCCAATTTTCCACAGAAGCCAGTAGTGGCATCCACAAAAAATCAGTGGGGCCCGCTGCATAATGTAAGGTTAATTGTGTATAGGGGTTTTTGTTTTGTTTTGTTTTTTTAAACCTGTTTCCTTCCATCAATTACAAATTAAATTGAATGTGCTTTGTTCTTGAAGCGGGTAGAGAGGAGAACTCCACTGATCTTCTCTGTTCCATTCGTTATTTTATGCACCTCGATCGTGTAACAGCCCAGTTTCCAGTGGGCAAGTGCCAACATCACAAACCCCACCACCCATTTGTGGTTTGCTGGCTGCCTTGTCAGTAGCCTCAGCAGACAGGCTGATGGGGGCAAAAGGAGAATGGAGATTCAAACTCCCCTTTCTCTGCTAGGTGCCGTTCCTCCAGAACAGGGTTGAATCGATATCAACTGCTGCTGTCTCTGATCTGCAGATAATTTCTGTTTCTAGAGCTGTCAGCGTAGCACCTTTCACCAGCATTAAATTCACTTAATTAATGTAAAATAATACAGCAAGTGGCAAGTATCATTTTGCTTTATTTAGAAGCTTTCCCATAGACCTGGACAAATCCATGCCCTGGGTCTTCATGTCAGATTCCACTTCCAAGAACTGTCACTTACAATCATTCTGTATAGGACAGATAAGCTACATATCTTCCACCTGCCATTTGAAAATCAATGACATTTGCAAGCAGTGACTTCTAGTGGGTTAGATGAATGGCTCACTTGAAGTCACTGATTTTGTTCTGTATTGCAAGAGATGCAAGCTGTCCACAATAATGCAATCAAACAAATAATCAGGAAAAAAAGTTAGAGACAACTGTGGGCTATAACATCATTTGCAACGGCCTGAAGAGAGTCCCCTGTTCATTATAAACCAAAGAAATCAAGCATTCTTGGGATTGTTTACAGTGTACTCATTTCTAGAGTCAACTACAGGGAGACCTCAACCATTTTAGTCCAAATATCCTGAAACCTTGTGTATGTCGACAGGTGGTGGGGTGGGGCTCAGAATCCAGATCTGTAATCAAAGTGTGTGACTACTGCAAGGACTTGTCAGATATGAGCGATGTGTGAATGTACACACACAAAGCAGGGATGAGGCACTAGGAGTCCAATCCACTGTCCGCTGAAGTCGGTTGGAAAACTCTGACTTACTTAAGTGAGATTGGATCAAGATTATGGACCTTCTTCATCCCCAAGAACTCTCGGATTCTGGGACTTGTAAAGAGTAATTTTGGAAGCGATCAAAAGAACTTTGCAGCTACCAAAAATCTTGGTGGACTCCTGCTGTGGCGATTTCCACTGAAAAGTTTATCCTCACTAACCTAAAGCTGTTTCTCTATATTTAAAAAAAAAGGGTCAGGGAAATGTAGTGATAGATAAATGGGGAGAAACGAGTGTTACAGGCCCCAGGCCAGCCAAACACTTACAGATGCAGTAAAGCACATGGCTAACCCACCCCTGTGCAGTGCAGTGTTCTGTTCCCCTCTAGGGCCACATAGGGCGGTTGATGAACATGCTAGGGCATTGGTGAACAAATCTGGGTCTCTTAGAGCAGGTAACAGAGGCTCATGCTGTTAGACCCCCAGGTCTCAAGTTATGTTTCCGCTCCCAATGGCACACCCAGAGTTGCTGCTAGACATCACAAATGCTTAGCTGAGTAAAGTACATTTGAAGTCAGTGGGACATAAGCACGTGCTCGGGTACTTTGCTGTATTGGAGCCAGAGTGGGGGAAGAACTAGGAAAGTTTCCAGACGTGTTCAAAATGCTAACTGCCTTCTAGATTCATGTTTATTTTGCAGATGGACATGCTGAAACTGGTGTTGTGAACCAGGCAGCTTTTAGCGAAACACCCCTGACAGCAGCCAGGAGAAAGCAGGCCATAATTGACTCCTGGGGGGTTTCTGCATGACTGTGCGCCTGCAGAAAACGGCAGGGAAGCCGCGCGGAGGGTGGGGGTGGGACAACCATGGGCACAGGTTTTGGGGGGGAGGGGGATTACCCCCCCCCAAACAGAGGTGAGGCATGGTGGGGGCACACAGGGTTATGTGCCACTGCCCCCCCCCCCCCATTTCTGCACAAGCAGAGCTGTCCAGCTGAAGGAGGCTGCCTCTGCACTCTGCTGCCTCTGCAGCTGAACGCCGCCTCCTGGGTCCTAGTGCAAGTTGTGCTCCCCTTCTGCGAGGTGGGCGCCTTCCTGTTTTCTCTGCAACAGTGAGTGCCAGTGGTGGGGCTGGGTAAGCGGAGGGGTGGGGGGGAAGAGGAAAGGGAGGGTGAGGTGGTGAGCAGAAGAGGCAGTGGGGAAGGAAGGGGGTGGAATAGGGTTGGGGGAGGGGAATGTGGGAGTGAAGGGAGGGGGATGGAGAAGAAACGGGGATAGAGGAATCGATGGGGGAAGTGGGAGCCCAGCAAGCAGCATCCCCTCGGCAGCAGCTGGGGCTCCCCCGTTACGCAAGCCCATCGAACCCTCACCTTAGGACAAGCCCTACCACTGACCCCTCCAATGAGCCTTCCACACCCCACTGAGCCCCAACCAACTGCACCTGGACCCTCACCCCATCAAGCCCCACTCTCCCAACACCCGCAGCCCACCACTAAGCCCCCCACACCCAGACCCCCCCCGCTGAGCCCCAACCACCTTCACCTGGATCCCCTGCAGAGTCCCATTGTGCCTGCACCCAGAAACCCACAACTAGCCCCTGTTTATCCTAATCTTACACTGAGCCTCCCGCACCCAGATTGCCCCACACAGAAACCTCTCAACCACACCTGGATCCCCCCCCACTAAGCCCCTCCACAATTGGATCCTGCTGGGTTGAGCCTGCCCACCTACACCTCGTGCGCCTGGTGCAGAGGGACCGGGCCCCAGGGTGTTTCTGGGGCTAGCCCAGCCCTTGCACTGTCAGGGTCAGGTGAAGCCTCACTGCCGAGTTCCTGTACGGGAGAGGTGGGGGCTTTCGGGTGATCTCCCACCTCAATGCAGCCAGTGGCCTGTGCTCCCCACTGCCATGCTGGAGCCACATTTATTTATTAACAAATATAATTTGCAGAATTTTAAGATATTGTGCACATAATTTTTATTTTTTTGGTGCAGAATGCCCTCAGGAGTAATAATTACAGCCATGTTCCTCTTACTTTGTGGCCTATGTTTAGCAAGACTAATGTAAATGTGCTCCTAAAGCCCAGGGGCTCAGTAGCCACTGAAATAGTTTCATTGGTAGACTTAAGGAAAGAGCAATTCAAATCTATGTACCATATGCAATGTTGAAGACTGTGAAAAACAAGACTGAAATGTTTCTTGTATGGAATTCTTACAGCTTTGAAGTTTTTAGTTCAACATTTAAAATGAGAGCTATGAAGAAATACAGAAAGTTTGGGGCTCTAGGCTGCAGTACGACTTTTCTATCTTGGTATCGTGCTGTGTCATTCAAGGGTTAGCAGGATCAAGTACCTCAGGTGTTTTGTATGCATTGGTAGAATCCACCTACAGAGAAAAAACACACACAAAGAAATAAGCATGATGAGGAATTGATTCGCTATAATCTCAGTTGTATTCCTCCTTCAGGCTTGGGGCTTGTATTGATTTGTTTAGAGCTAACGGAGCTGCCAGTCAAAGAAACAGAAGCAGTCAATGTGTAAATAAGTTAAAATTTAAAAAATGAGCTCTAGTAACATCTATCCTTAAACACCTATAGCAAATTCATATAGACAACATTTGTTTGCTTCTGTATTCATAATACTCAGCATTTCTATAATGTTTTCCATCCCCTAATCTCAATTTGCTTTACAATCAGTAATTAATTAAGCTTCCTACCAGTAATTAATTACCAGTAAGTAATTAACTACCTTCCTATCAGTAATTAATAAAGCTAAAGTAAGGTAGCTTTTATGTTCATTATGCAAATGAGGAAACTGATGCACAGAGCGGTTTCCCAAGTTCACACAAGACACCTGTGCAGATCTGGGAATAGAGCCAAAGTCTCCTGACTGCTACTCCAGTGTCTAAACCTCAAGACCATCTTTCCTCCTCACCTTGCTTACACTGACATGCTTAGCATCTTGTGATGGGATGGAGGGTCAGAGGACAAATCTGAGATCTTATTACAAATCTAAGGAAAGCAGCAGCATCTTTCCACAGATCTTTTTTAAAAAATTGATTTATATGGCACTATGAATGGTTGGGGCCCTTACAGAATATATATGTGCTTCACAGGTCCCTGCCTGTGACAGGCTATGCAGATCTGGTCCAGGGGTTGATAGGGAAGGGGTTTCATGTTAAATAAAGGATTGTAGTTCTGCTGCCCTGAGTGCAGACACTTGCAAGGCGAGCAAGGTTGAGCCAGCTCTGGCGAATTAATCAATTCCCTCACTACCCTTTAATAAGGATATGCTGTGGGAAATTGAGCACTGAGTTTGCCAGTGAGAGTCAGGCTGTTTAGAGAGGCTGGGGGCTTAGGTCAGATCATGCCCTCATCCCCTCTGGAACTTGACTGAGAGGAGCTGGCCTTTAGATCTTTCTTTGGACTTGGTTGCAGCAAGCCAGGCCTTATGCCATCAGTTTAGCTGAGGAAACCCCTATTTTGTGTTTGGCCTTCAAAGGGACAGGACACTCTTCACATGTACTTTTCTGTAAACACCACAAGGCTGTGCACACTCCACTTAGCCAGGCAGAGTCTTCCTCTGCTCTGAAAGTATGTCTACACTTGGAGCTGGGGTGGGGGTGTTTCCCAGCTTGAGGAGACATACTTGTGCTAGCTCTGATCAAGCTAAGCTAGCTAAAAATCGCGTGGCTGCCGGCAGCGCAAGTGGTGGGATGGGCTAGCTGCCCTAAGTACTTAACCCATCCAAGACGATAGGCATGTACTGGGGGTGGCTGCCTGCCGCGCTGCTGCAGCTATGCTCTATTTTTAGCGCACTAGCTCTGATCAAGCCTAGCTTGAGTATGTCTCCCCAAGCTCCAAGCGCAGACTTACTCTAGCTGACCTATTAAATTGCCCCCAAAAGACTGCCCTCTAAAGGCACAAGTCAGGACTGCACCACACACAACACTAAATCGCACAGGGTGAGGACTCAGCTTGAATAATCTAAGTTAAAGTCTAAAATGCAGCTACTTGGAGCTTGTCTACATGGGAGAGTTTTGCCATAGTATAGTTATACTAGTATAAACCCCTGTGTGTGGACACTCTTATTCCAGTATAGGAATGGCTTTTTGCAGTTTAGCTTAATCCCTTTCTAAGCGACACAAAGAAAAACTAAAAAAAGGTGCTCTTATGCTGGAATAAGACTGTCCACGTGGTGGTGTTATGTCCATGTAACTATACTGGTTTAAGTTCAGACCTTAGGTTACACAGAAAAATTGTTCCTACAGAAAACAGGTTTTAGAATATCCAAATTTTATTATGACAGTAGATAGATATGCTGTTTAAGGTCTCCCGATGTTGTTCCTATGACTTCACAAAGAACACTTACACTGGGATTCTGTTGGTCTTTTGGTGTTCTGGACTAGAGTGTCCACACAGGGTTTTGCACTAGTTTCATTAAATCTGTTTAAAATCACTCCTATGGCTTGTCTACACTACAGATGCTACAGCAGCACAGCTATGGTGCTGCAGCTGTGCCACTGTAGCACCATAGCGTAGACACTTGCTGCAGTGATGGGAGGGTTTTTTCCGTCATTGTGATTAATTCACACCCTCAAGAGGTGGTAGCTAAGTTATTGGAAGAATTCTTCTGTCAAGCTAACGGTGTCTAGGCCAGGGCTTAGGTTGGTTTAGCTATGTCTGTTGGGGGTGGATTTTTCCCAACCCTGAGTGACGTAGCTGGGTTGACCTAAGTTTTAGGTGTAGACCAGGCCTTAGTATACTTCTGAGTGTAAACCAGGCTCAGGAAAAAAGGTGGTGGTCTGTTTGATTGGAGGGGTTTTTTTGTTTTTTGTTTTGTTTTACTTACCCCAGGGTAACTAACCCCATTTGAAACACCAATTAGCAGCTAAGGCTAAGCTAGATGCAGTGTAACACATTTACAATCATGTTAGCTAATGTAGCAGTCAGCCTGAGGAAAAAACTAGTATGTGATCCTAGTTAAAAGCTGTATCTTAGTGCACATAGGCTCAAGGGGGCTTAATGATGGTTGCACACGCCAGCTTAATTCTGGCATTTCCTAACTTGAGTGCTTAATTTTGCAACCCAAATCACTCAGGGCTTGTCTTCACTACAGAGTTAACGGAAGCTAGCTAGGGCCCCCCATTACTGCCCTGCCTGTAGCTCACTTGCTGAAGCTCGGAGGAGCTGCTATGTGCGACACGAGGAGAGGTTTTGAAAAAGTCCAGTGTGGCATTTTGGCATTGGGTTTTTTAAGTGACATGCGTAAAGCCCCTACCATCTGGTCATCTGTAATGGGCCCCTGACGCATTCATTGCTGCATTGGGCTGGCTGACATGGGAGTTGTACAGTACCTGTTTTCCTGGAAACAGCTTTCAAACCACACTTCCCCTGAGGCAGTTTGCAGGTGTAGAGGCCAAGGCAGCCATCACAGTCTGAGGGTTTCTGGCAGGTCTTAGCCTGAATCCCGGGACAGGAATAATGGAAGGAGAAAGAGAGAGAGGCTGTCATACCAACCCACTCCCTCTGCAACCAACTCCCAGCCCAAGTGATCCCCACACCCTCAAACTATACTGAACTTTAATTCAGGTTTCTAGTGGTTGCACTAGTAAGTGCACTGAATTCCCCACAGTTGAGGGGAGGGTTATCTCTAAACATAAACATTGCCTTTCTGCATAGGCCTGAGCCATGAAAGTGTGGATCCTGATCCAAATTTCATTTCCTCCTTCTACCCCCAGTATTTGGCTCCGAGGGTTTGGTTTGGCTTGCTCTAGCACTGAGGAACAGACATGACATCGGGATCTAGAGTCAAATTCCAAAGCTCCCTTCACTCCAAAGTTTGGGGTTTCCACAGTTGGAGGTTTAGTTAAGACCCATCTCTGCACTTCAGGTTAATATTTAAACATTTTGAGGTGGAACTGAGCCCCTGATTCCTCCCTCCTCGTCCTTGGTGGTGCTCACTTTCTTCTTAAACTCTCTAATGTTGCAGGGTGAGGATTTCAGAGTCCTCAAAACCTGGATTGATCTGGGCCAGGACTGTCTTTTTGGTAAAGTGCGCATGGTGCCTAGTGCTGTGGGGCCTCTCGGAGCTACAGCAATGCAAATAATAATTCATCCAAATAAAGTTCTCCTCATCTCTAGGCATAGCTGCAAATCAATAATTGGGACCAATAAGGCTAGCGCCACATGGACTTCATAAAAAACCAGCTCCTTCCTGTTTTTAATTTAGCAAATTATATAACAGACCTATCTTGTGTAGGTGGCTTAGCTACTACCACATTTAATTACTTGCCCCAGGGCTGAAACATGACAGCAGCTTCTCTTAAAGCTAACTACTTTCCTGGCAGAGGCAAAAGGGTCGATTTTTCACAGGCACAAAGGGCAGGTGGGCTCCTAATATCGACCCCAAAGCCACTAAAGGGAGCTTCTGTTTAAAGCTGTACGGCTACTGTGCCATTACTAATTGTGGCTGGCTTCTAAACTGAGCTGCGCAAAGCCATTCAGTTCATTATTCAGTTTTATCCGTGTCAGTGAGTCAATCTCCAGGATTGCACTTGTGGTGGGCCATTGTCTCCAGCACTTGCAAGTTGACAGCAGTAGGATGTTTGGAAATTAGATGAGCTCAGAAGATCCACTTAATCTCTCCCAGGCAGCTGGAGGGATCTTTAATGAATCCAGGAGAAAATGAGCCAAGTTGCAAAGTTGACTGTGCAATAAGGTGATGAGCATTTGCTGCCTGTTCTGGGCTCCTCAATTTATTGTTCTTAAATGGTCTGGATGTACAATCTACATTAGCTAGGCCTTGGCTCTATTTAAGAGACAGAAAATGGTAGATTACAAGGATCTAGAAAGGTCTGGGGGCTTCAGTTCCCATTTTTATAAACAATATAACAAGCAAAAAAAAATTCTAAAAGCCATAACTCAAATGAGACTGAAGGAAGGAGCATGGTGCTAGATCCCTGCTCTCTCCAAGTGGCGTAGCTCTCTTCCATCAATACTGTGCCTCCCAGTGCACCTCGCTATCTAGTACAGCCACATAACTTGTGCTGTGGTGTTGTTTACTGTGATAAAACAGTGTGCCTATAGAGAGGAGTTATCATTCTCTCTCTCTCTCTCTCTATATATATATAACCTCATCCATTTGAAATTTGCTGGAATGAACCTGCAAGAAGAAACTACCCATTTCTCTATAGAGTTGAGCTCCGATGTAGAGAGCTAGGAGGAAGAAGTCTGAGTAGGCCTGGATGAACTGAAAATACTACATGTGGACACCCAGTGCAAGGATATGGACAATGAGCTGGTTTGATTAGATAAGAAACAGTCCCTTCCAGGAAGGAGGACATGCAATTGTGGGAGACGTTGTTGATCAGCTCTCTCCTGGGCACCTGCCATTGAACTGGGGAGGGCAAAGGGGGAAAAACAAAAGGTGCAGACAGGGGACTCTGGCTTGTACAGTTACCTCTACCACCCTTTAATATTTGCAATTACAACCCATGGCAGCTGGGTTTGTGCAGTCATTACCTAGACAAGGTTCAAGGAGATCCTTTCCTTATCGTATTTCTTGGTTTATCCATTTCTTCGTTCTGTTAAACAGTATCCTGTTTAAATGCAACTCTAATTTGACTTTGATTGTTAATACTGAGTAGGATAAGTTTGATCTATTGACAGACAGCAGAGGCTGTGTGTCACTGATGCCTCCTCCTCGTCGTGTTGGGAATTAGCTTGAGGCCAATGCCCACGTCCATGGTGTGCACACCAGCACTCTGTCTCTGCTTCTGACTATGGCTCCTCTCTCAGCTCCCAAAACCACAGCATCCTCTCTTCAACTCAGCCCCCAGTTAGGTCGCCATCCACTTTTCCCCCCTTCTGGGATGTGGGGGAGAAGAATATCTCTGTCCAACAGTCCCAACACTTCCCCACTGGTGAGTGGGTGGGGGGAACTAGTCACTGCCCTGTCCAAGGTGCTTACAGTTCACTCAACCATCTAGGCACACAGTCCTTACTCCCTTGGCTCTCAGCAGCAACTGCCCCTACCCTGCAACTCTCTTTTATATGGACCTTCTGGGCCCTGATTGGCTGTCCCTCACAGTCCCTCTCCTATTGGCTGTGTCCCACACAGCCTCCCCAGTGCTCTGTTAACCCCTTCTCTGCCAATGTGGGATGGTGGCTCCATCACACTATGTCATAGGGTCTAAGGAGAAGCTGTGTTTCCAGCCTTATGATGAGGCACTGATGGTGGTCCATACTGGTATAAAGCAAACCCTGTCACTATAGATTGGCCAAGGCTGGATGACCCACATTACACAGATACCAAAGTTTAAAGTGGCCTGGGTGAAGCTGAGTGGCAGATGTGAGACCACTGTGGTGAGATGTGATGCAAGTCAGGTATTCAATGAGTCCATAGTAGCACCGCGATTGGAGATGGAGCTCAGCCCCCAGGGGCTACAGCCCCTATAAGCTACCTGCTCTGCCAAGATGCTATTTTTAAACTTAGATGCTTAAAATTGATATTTAGCTGCCCAGGTCCAGGCACTTGTAGTTTTGAAACTATGTTGGTGAATGGTACCAGCAACGGTGCCATAATTAGTGTGAGGTGAATTTTTTTCAACCAATAGTAAATTTGCCAAATAATGTTTTATTCAGGGACCCAAAACTGTTCATGAATTTGGGGCAAAGTCAGTGAATAGTTTCAGCTGAAAAAAAAATTTAAAAATGTTGAAAATTTCCTTCTGACATTTTTCAAAATGAACTGTGTCAACATGTCATTTAGGAAATGTTTTGAAGCGACATTCAAAACGTTTCATTCGACCTGAAGAAAATTTATGTTTTTGTCTTGTTTTGGCAAGGGAACACTGGGGGGAAAACCCCCGTTTTGGTTTAAAACAAACTGAATATTTTGAGGGGGATTTTTTTGGTTCAGCCACCAAACCGAAAAATCTAATTATTCACTCTGTTTTAATCATAACGCATTTGTTTAGATGGGAACTACTGGCCTGGGAATGAGATTTCTGTACACTTCTTCTTGCATTTCCAGCTTAGAACTGGGCTCGTCTGTTTATGCTGGACTCTAAGAACAGACAAGCTCTGCTGTGTCAGTGCTCTGCACCCATCCCTGGCTGACCTACAAGCCGGGAGTAGAGGTTCCTGACTGGCAAAGATAGGCCATCTCACACTCCTATCTGAGCTATGGTTGCTGTTTAGTATTAAAGTATTAATCTCCCCATCTCCCTAGAAATATTGAAAAAAAGCTGTAATTTGATTATGAGCTAGTGAATGACAGACCCAGATCTTCGGTGAGACCACTTTAAGCCCTGCAGACAGATTAACTAGACTGGATCACAACACTGTATGCGCACATACCACACAGACTAGGAGAACCACTTGATGGCTTTAGTTGATCGTTAGGCAGGCACAGAGACCCCCAAGAACTCTTTCGCTCTGACTTTCCCATACGAACCCTCAGTATGCTGGCTCCTTCAGGATGGGATGGCCGGGAGGACAACCATCAGCCATCCTATCTTGTTGTCTCTCCAGACCTTAATCATTGGTTTTTATTTCACCTTCTGATGAGATGAACCAGGGCCACCTCCCCACCACCCCAGAGGCAGCTGTTAGACAGGGACAGGTTCTGAGGTGGAAGCAAGACACAGGCTGGGGGCAGTGGTGTGGTGTTATACTCACAGTGTCAGTATTGAATTTCCCATGGCCTTCCAAGTGGTTGCTGGATGCTGGGCTCTTGCTCTTGGGGGGCTGCAGCTTGCTAGTGGCCTTCTGTTTACTGCTTTCTCGTTGTGGCTTGCTCAGCAGTTTGCTGTGGGACCTGGCTCCAACTCCATCTTCTCCTGCCTTCTTCTGCACTCTGGCAGCAGGCTGACACCTCACTGAGCTGCCTTTTGGAGCTTTCTCTCCTCCATCTGATGGCTGAGGTGCTTTCTCCCTCTCTCAGCCCCCACCTGCTTCTCTGGAGCTACCAACCCTTTCTCATCCCCAGCCTGAACCAGGAACGAGAGCTGCACCAAGAGGACAGCAATGGTGGTCACTGCATAAACCTTCATCCTTGGGCTCTGGCTTCCCAGGTGCTTGTAGGGAGGATCAGACCTGCCTCTTGCTCAGTGTTGGTGGCTGAAACCCTTTTATAAAGCAGAGATCTCCCTCCACCCCACCCCTCTTTCTGGGTGTCAATGACACTGAAATTCTAGCTTTCGTCTTATACCTGCAAACCTGGCTGCTACTGCTGGGAAACTCCCCCTCCCCCAAACTCTCTCATAGCCCTCCCATGAGCAACACCCCCTCCCTCTTTCCAAGGGTATCTGTGTGTGTCTAGCGTACTCTTTCCCAGTTGTGATCATGGCATATTTTGGCTAAACTATTTGCAGGCAGGATTGAGATAAATAAATGGATCTGCTGGCAAACTGTGCACATCAGGTGTGGGGAGGTGCATGAGAGGAAAGGGTTAATTTGGTCTCAAAGGCATCTTTTACAACCATACATTTTTAAATACCTTAGATGACTGATTATGCACTTTCACCACTGGGATGTTGGGGTGGGGGCGTGTTTCTTTCACTGCTTCCAATGGAAAGACCCTTGGTACCCCCACTTTTTGGTTAGGCTGAGGTTGCCCCCTGAGTACACAAAGGTGGTGGGAAAAGGCGTTAGCTCGATGCGAACTGGTGCGAGTATGTGTATACAAGTAGGGAATCACACCCCCAGCTCGTAGTGTAGACATAGCCTTAGTGAAAAATGAATGTTTCTGAGACTGTATAACAGGCAGAGAAGATTCCTGCTTTGTTTCCAGTGGTGCAAAACACAACCTCCAGTGCTTACAGGTGAGAGAAAAGCTAGTCATCCACCTTAGCTGGCCTTGCTGCTGAATTTAGCCAATGAATTACGAACACCACCTGCTGGTTTTGAAGAGGAGGAAGGTTGGGCCACTGTAATATTGGAGGGCTAATGCTACACACACACACCCCAACTGCTCTCTATCCATAAGGGTACCAGTGAAGGAGGTTTAATTGCACAGACGACCACCAGTCCACTGAACTCTGAAGCTGAACATTGAACAACCCCAACAAGCAGTGCTTAAAGTTGCAAGGTTGGGGGTTCTAGACCCAGTGGAGAAAAAATCGAGCTGGATCACTGAGGGGCACACACACACTTTAAGCATTGTCTTACCACAGCTGCTGCTCCCAGCTTATGTGAAACCTGCCACTTTTTTAAGACCACTTTAAGCACTGACAGCAAGTTCAGGCTGAAACCGCAATAGGGTATTTCGCTAACCATATACTTCCATCTAACTTGTAAAACCCCATGGGTGTCTTACGAGCATTTGGAACTGCAAGCACATGGACTTGCATAGTGGCTCTTGTGAGGTGAGCTAGGAACTGGGTTAAAATCATCACCTTCAGTGTCACTTGTGAGCTGATCATTGTTTGAGTGGTGATACCCAGCCCCAGGTCCTCTGAGGTATTTAGGCTCCTGTGACACAGAGGCCCAGTAGTAGTTCACTGCTCTGTCTCAGCCTCATACACCTCTCACACCAGTTATATTTACATAAAAGGTGACATGCCATATATCATTTGAAATCTACTAACACACTGGTCATTAATGTCACTGTGAAATGTTTGTAACAACACTGTAGGTGAGATTATAGATCCTTTCTGATATTATGTCTTGAGACTGAACAGACAAAGGAGATAAAACAGATCTTTTTTCCAAATGAAGGGAACAGAGTATGGTGGCAGATGTCCCATTCAGGAAAGGGGGGTCTGACTTGCTGCCTCCGGGTCAGCCAGTGGCTAACCCTCCTACAGCTTTATAAGTGGGGGGGATGTGATCCTGAGAGCACCCCAATGCCAGATGGAATAAACTTACTTTTCATAGGTTTGTTTGCTCAGTGGTCAGAGGATTAGCAACTTGCCAGAAGCTGAAGGACGGTATCTAATTTGTATTAATGGTACATTTTGTTACTGCCTCAGTAATAAAAAGCTGGATGCCAGAAGAGCCACAGGTAGAAGAATGGTCTTGTGGTTAAACACTGGGCTGGGAGCTGGTAAATCTTGGTTTGGTTCCCAGCTGTGCTACAGACTCACTGAGACCTTGGGAAATTCACTTAATCTCTGTGCCGCACATTCGCCATTTGTAATACAAGAACAGCGCTGCCCCACCTCAGCGAGGAGATGTGAGGTTATATTCATTTGTGTTTCGGAAGCACATGGACATTGCAGAGGGGCAATAGAAGTATCTAGATATTTAAGTCCCAACATACAATGCTCCACTTTGATCACTGGGCCATATCATAGAACTGTGTGCCAGTGGGTTGCTGTTCGGCAAGCCCATATGTAATAAGCATATTGTCTCAGATATCCATTGTTTTGCTGAAGTAGTGGCTGAGCAGGGCTGTTGAAAGGAGTTTGGCGTCTACCCTATGAAGATGGGAGGAAGAAATACAAGCTTTTTCAGGAAGGTGCAACCCAAGCTGTTTAAGCACCCTGTTTTTTTTTTTTTTTTTTTTTTTTGCTTTCTGGGAGATATTGGCTGTGTGGCATTGGGGGATTGACAGTGGGGGGTGGAAATCTGAAGTAATGTTGCACTTCAGGTGTGGTTGGAATGGAACATCTGCTAGAGCTCTGGAGCATAAACTCTAATTCATCTTCCACACCTTCACCTCTGGCCAGCTCCTAGCCTTGACCTGTTCCAGGTTCACGCTGACAGTACTGATCTCCTGGGAGACGGGCTCGTATGAACGGAGGGAGAGGCAGGCAGAGAGCAGGCCCATCCGGACGCAGGTATCTGTGTCGTGCCCAGCAAGTAGCCCAGCGATTATCCCCGCCATTAAACTGGGAAGAGAAAGAAAAGGCAGCTTCAGACATTGGGGAATGGTTTTGATTCTGCAGACCTTGCCATCCCAAAGAGACACTAAAGTATCTCTATTCACAAAACAAAGCTAAAAGCCAAGGGTCCCTACAGCAAATCAACCTACAAGCAACAGAAACTGGGATGGGGGAAAGGAGGATCTAACAAGGGGTTTGAGTATCCCTAAGGAAGACTGAAAGTCCCCTCTCTTGTCGTGTCCCAACCTCAGGACGCTGGGTCACAGACATTATCCTTTTAATGGAGAAAGATATCATGTCCTGGAGATGTCCCTTCCCAGGTTCCTGACAAGACTTTAAAACAGTGAGTGCCCCCTCATTTTATTCTATCCCAGCATGCTTTGGAAATAGAGTTGCCAACCCTCCAGGATTGTCCTGGAGTCTCCACGAATTAAAGATTATGTCATGAGTGAAATCTCCAGGAATACATCCAACCAAAACTGGCAGCTCTGTTTGGGAGGTTAGTCAGTGCGGCATGGCTACTCAGTGCAGATGTGACCAGTAGAGCTCAGAATATGTAGCATAGGTGCTGGAACTGGGGGTGCTGCTGCACCTCCTGGCTTCAAGTGGTTTCCATCATATCCAGGGTTTACAGTTTGGTTCAGTGGCTCTCAGCACCCCCACTATACAAATTGTTCCAGCACCCCTGATATGTAGCTCACTATTGAGCCTCAGTGCCTGAATTTAAGAAGCTCCCAGTATCATTGGGACGTAAAAAAGGAGACAGAACTTCCTTTAGAGACTCTAAGTAATGTTTCTTACCATAACAGAGGAGTTAACAGGAGAGATTCCTTCCTCTGTCATGCGCACAGCCAGGCTACTCCCAGTCTCCTGGGGTAGAGTGCCCTGCCTCTGAGATGTTTGTGAAATTGTTTTTAATTTTCTGAGACAAGGTGGGCGAGGTAATATCTTTTATCGAACCAACCTCGGTTTGTGAGAGAGACAAGCTTTGGAGCTACACAGAGCTCTTCTTCACATCTGGGAAAGGTACTCCCAGCATCACAGCCAAGTACAAGGTGGAGCAGACTGCTTAGTGTAAGGAGTTACCACATGTTGCAAGAGACCATTCAAAGATCTTTTCCCCTCTAGGCGTTTAACAATGGGGGTGGGGAATAGTTAGGATAAAGGTAGGGAATTGTTGGGAGTTAGAAGATAGGGGATGGGAGCATGAGCTTCTAAGCTTCCTGACTTGCTGGTGGCTGGTTCTATTGACTTCTGGTGCTGCATGTGAGACATTCTGGGTGATGTATTCAAGTTCTATCAAGGGGACCTGGGTATATGGATAGAAGCCTCTTTCTAGCATTTGTACACATCTAAAGAAATAAGACAGAGGAAACAGCAGTGAAGATGAGGAAAAAGGAAAGACGAGGAAGAGAGAAGGTGATGGTGATCATAAGAAGAGAAAAGGGATGGTGATGTGAAGGAGATGGAGAGTGGGTAAGACTAATGGGAAGTTCTAGGAGGATGGAGGCGATGTTTAAAAAAAGCAGAGAGATAGCGCTAATATCAAGGGAGGGGCTTAGGGCTCTAAAACAGAGCTCCCACGTTGGCAGGGGGAGGGAGTCCTCTTCAGATAAAGTAGTCTTGTCAACTTTCAGCCAGCAGTTCATCTAAGGTCTCTGCAGGCTTCATCTGCCTAGTAAAGGTTACAGCAGCTGCAGGTGGCATTGTAGTGCTAGGGCCTCCTCGGGTCTGGGGAGCTGCACTTAGCTACCCTTGCCCTGTAGCTATGGGCCAGCAGAGATTTACACTCAGTACCAGCATGGCCTTCCACTCTGAAGAGCGGCTACTGCCGAGAGCTTCCAGGTGCTTCTCACTACATCCTAGGGGTGCGAAGGAAAAACTTCCATTTCTTACTTAGACGAATTACCTCAGTTTCTGCTTAACAAAAGGCACAGAACATTGTGGTTTGTGATGACCTTTCAATCTCTCAACAGCTCCTGAGACTTGGAATAAATATTTGGGGGGGATTATTCCTTAGCAGTGCTGTGTACGTGCATACACTGTTATGTTGTTACAGCAACCAGGGTGCAGGGAGCAAACAGCTTCCACAGACTGACAATGGACCCAGCCATCTGGGCAGGGATTCCAAGAGAACCTTAAGATACAAATGAATTGCATGCTCCTCTTGAGCCAGTGCCCCTACCTACCCCCTTCCCTCCAGTGGCTCCTGCTGGGAGAGACTGAGACTGGAGTAGCTCTAAGCACCTTCCCCAAGCCACAGCTTTGGCACCATTAACTACAGCACAGTGAACCTTGATGGATCCGAGCACAGCATTTGGAAGGTGAAACTAACTGAGACATGAATGTGTTGGCTACTTCTGGTTAGATTCCATTGTTCAATCCCTTGAAACTGCTCACGGCCACCCTGTATGCCGTGAGTGTATGCAGCTTTGGTTTCTCAGCACATGTAGCCTGTGTGAGCACTGGTCTTAAAGGTCTCGCAAGGAGTCTGTTCTTGCATCCAGCACTGTATGAAAAAGAGGATTTCTGCAGAGTGAAGGAGCAGCCATTGGATAGCAGGAGAAGGAAATTACCTAAATTTCAGGAAACTCAAAGATTCTAAGAAATGCCAAATGGACTCAAAGAAACTGAGCTTCGTGAGAGCAGATCAATTTAAATTTAATAGGACTACAGTAATATAGATACTAATGGGCCTGAACTTTCAGGGTCCTCTAGGAAGAAAAAGTTTAGTAGTCATCAGACATATCCTGGACAATGTCTGGCAGGGGAGCAGCTTAAAGCAAATAGGAAGCTTAGGTAAAATTTAGAAGAGAACAAATTATAAGCTATTAGGCCACGTATAACAATTATTCTGGAGGAGGCTAGGTCATTGTTCAGTGTATCGTGCCCAGTTGTGATCACCCCACCTTCAAGATGTGGCTGAGATTGAAAAAGTCTAGAGAAATGCAGTGCTGAGGGAAAGAGATATGGCAGGATTTACATATGAGGAGTGATCGGAAACACTGTGATTGTTTAGTCTGGAAAGGAGAAAGTAGAGGAGTGTTGACTGAGGTACTCAGAATTACTAATAGCTCACCTTAAGTGATCACTCTGGTTACAGTGTGTATGGTAACACCCATTGCTTCATTTTCTCTATGTATATAAATCTCCCCACTATATTTTCCACTGAATGCATCGATGAAGTGAGTTGTAGCTCACAAAAGCTTATGCTCAAATAAATTTGTTAGTCTCTAAGGTGCCACGAGTCCTCCTTTTCTTTTTGTGAATACAGACTAACACGGCTGCTACTCTGAAACCTGTCATTATGCAAGGCACTGAATTTAGCCGTATGGAGTAAAAATCTATCAACTTCATGAAAAAACTCATACAGATACAGACAGACATCATCTTCCTTTCCAAATGCAAACAGATGGACATCATACCAAAAGGACTGAAGGTAAAAATTCCATTACAATCTACATACCACACAGACTATGCTGACAGCTTGTGCCACATGCTCTCAAAGAAACTGCGGAACCACCTGATCAACATCCTCTACAGCAACCAGGGAAAGATTAAGAATGAGCTCTCAAAACTGGATACTCTCATAAAAAACCTTCCACACAAACTTCCTCGTGGCTGGACTTTATAAAAACTAGACAAGCCATTTACAACACATACTTGCTTCTCTACAAAAGAAAAAGGACACTAAACTATCTAAACTACTACATGCCACAAGGGGCCACAACAGTGGTTCCCTTAACCCGCCCAGCAATATTGTTAATCTATCCAACTATACTCTTAGCCCAGCAGAAGAATCTGTCCTATTTCGGGGCCTCTCCTTCTGCCCCTCCACCCCCACGAACATGATACAGTTCTGTGGTGACCTAGAATCTTATTTTCGACGCCTCCAACTCAAGGAATATTTCCAACACACCTCTGAACAACATACTAACCCACAGAGAGCTTCCTACCAAGACTACAAAAAGAAGGATTCTGGGTGGACTCCTCCTGAAGGTCGAAACAACAGACTGGACTTCTGCATAGAGTGCTTCCGCCGACATGCACGGGATGAAATTGTGGAAAAGCAGCATCACTTGCTCCACAACCTCAGCCGTGCAGAACACAATGCCATCCACAGCCTCAGAAACAACTCTGACATCATAATCAAAGAGGCTGACAAAGGAGGTGCTGTTGTCATCATGAATAGGTCAGAATATGAACAAGAGGCTGCTAGGCAGCTCTCCAACACCACTTTCTACAAGCCATTACCCTCTGATCCCACTGAGGGTTACCAAAAGAAACTACAGCATTTGCTCAAGAAACTCCCTGAAAAAGCACAAGAAAAAATCCGCACAGACACACCCCTGGAACCCCGACCTGGGGTATTCTATCTGCTACCCAAGATCCATAAACCTGGAAATCCTGGATGCCCCATCATCTCAGCAGGATTGTCTGGCTATGTAGACTCCCTCCTCAGGCCCTACGCTACCAGCACTCCCAGCTACCTTCGAGACACCACTGACTTCCTGAGGAAACTACAATCCATCGGTGATCTTCCTGAAAACACCATCCTGGCCACTATGGATGTAGAAGCCCTCTACACCAACATTCCACACAAAGATGGACTACAAGCCGTCAGGAACAGTATCCCCGATAATGTCACGGCAAACCTGGTGGCTGAACTTTGATTTTGTCCTCCCCCATAACTATTTCACATTTGGGGACAATGTATACCTTCAAATCAGCGGCACTGCTATGGGTACCCGCATGGCCCCACAGTATGCCAACTTTTTTATGGCTGACTCAGAACAACGCTTCCTCAGCTCTCATCCCCAATGCCCCTACTCTACTTGCGCTACTTTAATGACATCTTCATCATCTGGACCCATGGAAAAGAAGCCCTTGAGGAATTCCACCATGATTTCAACAATTTCCATCCCACCATCAACCTCAGCCTGGATCCACTTCCTGGACACTACGGTGCTAATAAGCGATGGTCACATAAACACCACCCTATACCGGAAACCTACTGACCGCTATTCCTACCTACATGCCTCCAGCTTTCATCCAGATCCATTGTCTACAGCCAAGCTCTACGATACAACCGCATTTGCTCCAACCCCTCAGACAGAGACAAACACCTACAAGATCTCTATCAAGCATTCTTACAACTACAATACCCACTTGCCAAAGTGAAGAAACAGATTGACAGAGCCAGAACAGTACCCAGAAGTCACTTACTACAGGACAGGCCCAACAAAGAAAATAACAGAATGCCACTAGCCATCACCTTCAGCCCCCAACTAAAACCTCTCCAACGCATCATCAAGGATCTACAACCTATCCTGAAGGACGACCCATCACTTTCACAGATCTTGCGAGACAGGCCAGTCCTTGCTTACAGACAGCCCCCCAACCTGAAGCAAATACTCACCAGCAACCATGCAACACACAACAGAACCACAAACCCAGGAACCTATCCTTGCAGCAAAGCCCGTTGCCAACTGTGTCCACATATCTATTCAGGGGACACCATCATAGGGCCTAATTACATCAGCCACACTATCAGAGGCTCATTCACCTGCACATCTACCAATGTGATATATGCCATCATGTGCCAGCAATGCCCCTCTGCCATGTACATTGATCGTACTTTTCTATGTAAAAGAATAAATGGACACAAATCAGACGTCAAGAATTATAACATTCGAAAACCAGTCAGAGAACACTTCAATCTCTCTGGTCACTCGATTACAGACCTAAAAGTGGCAATACTTCAACAAAAAAACTTCAAAAACAGACTCCGAGAGACTGCTGAATTGGAATTAATTTGCAAACTGGATACAATTAACTTAGGCTTGAATAGAGACTGGGAGTGGATGGGTCATTACACAAAGTAAAACTATTTCCCCATGTTTATCCCCCCCACCCCCCACTGTTCCTCAGATGTTCTTGTCAACTGCTGGAAATGGCCCACCTTGATTATCCCTACAATAGGTTCCACCACCCCCTTCCCTCCCCCCCCCCCCGCTCTCCTGCTGGTAATAGCTCACCCTACCTGATCACTCTCATTATAATGTGTATGGTAACACATGATTGTTCCATGTTCTCTATGTATATAAATCTCCCCACTGTATTTTCCACTGAATGCATCCGATGAAGTGGGCTGTAGCTCACGAAAGCTTATGCTCAAATAAATTGGTTAGTCTCTAAGGTGCCACGAGTCCTCCTTTTCTTTTTGAGAATACAGACTAACATGGCTGCTACTCTGAAACCTAGAATTACTAAGGTTTCCATGAAACTAATCAGTCCCTTTTTATGCTGTCCTCTAGCATGAGAAAGGGGGAGGCTAATCACTCCTTTCAATTAGTGGCAAATAAATGTGGAAAAATCTGCCTCATACAGACTTCCCAGACAGTTCACTGCAGTAAAATATCAGTCATTGCAGCTTATGAAAAAAGGTCTGGATAATTATGTCTGGATAATTATGACTGTATCACATGTAGTTATACAAGACAAGGAGGATAATAAAGATGTCAGCTGATCACTATGGGGTCAGTAAGTAATGCCTGTCCCCTCCGACCCCAGTGTACAGCATTGCATCAATGATTAGGTAAGGTATGGTGAGAACTCAAAGCATAAGGTACCAGCCACTCCCACAGGCCGAAAACTGGGACCTGATGAACTGGACTTATATGACAACTCCTGCCTTTAAGGCACTTCCTGGCCTTTTAGCAAACCTTACAACGAAGGTTAAGTCTCACTTCCACTGGAGAGAAACTGATCCAGCTTTGGCTTAAGGTAGTTTACTTTATTTTGACTACTGCTGTAGTACTTCAATAGCCACTAACGTCAAGAAGTTTGACAGCCCAGCCCAGAGTAATTCAGAACCTGTGGCTGTACTGCTGGGACCTTGGATGCTGTAGCATATGTTCAAGACGGTTCTGGGAAAAGGAGGATGAGTGGCCAGATGGGCTTCAATCGATATTAAGCTGTTATGGGCAAATTCTTAGTATGCGTTGTGGAGGATGATGTCCCTTACTCCTTATTGGGTGGATTTAATGTTTAATTCCCAAGCAGAAGAGTGAAATCTGTCTTCATGGTAGTGTTAAAAATTCCAGATAGGAATTCAGCTGCAGAAAATAAAGAAATCCCATAACTGCATCTTTTCTCTGGGTAATTAGTAATATACCTGTCACCCGCTCCTGAGACATTCACTATCTCTTCCCTGGAGATGGGGATTGCTGGGTAGTGGGTGGCACACAGCTCGCCAGCAGCATTCTGTAGAGAGGGAGAGGAGGAGTGACATTACTGGGAATTCACCGAATTCTAGAAGCAATATTTGGACCTGGCTGATATTGCCCACAGCTGCCTCAATACTTAGAGTCCAAATAATATTTTTTTACATTTTGAATCACATTCACTTTGCCTATGTTTGCGCCCTTTTGGGGTTCGCTTTCCACCAAGACTTCTGCAACTGAGAGCGTGTATGTTCGTGGAGAGTGTGTTTTAAACTTGCATTCTTAATTACTCAGGGAAAAGCACATTTTAAATGTGCTTTCTGTGATCACTCCACAGATATGAATCACTGTATCATAGGATGGTCCTTCCTGGAGCACTCTCCTGTGGCAAGCTACAGCATGACTGAGGCACCTGCCTCAGTTTCCCTTTCAGAGTCCCCAGTAACTCCTTGCAAGCTTATCCTCCAGTCCTGTGATTTATTACCAGAAACATATTTCAAATCATCCAAATGATAATGAAAGTACTATACATAGTCCATTTCTCACATCCCAGCACAGAGAGTCTTTACAAATCCAACGACATGGCACCCCACATACTACACTCCAGAGTTTTCCACCACACCTAGGCTTCTTGTCAGTCCTCCTCTGTCCTTCTGCTAAGAAAGCCACCCCAGCCCTTCCCGCAAGAGTAAGTTCTACTCTCAGGGCTGGCTCCAGGCACCAGCGAAGGAAGCAGGTGCCTGGGGCGGGCAACAGAAAGGGGCGGCATTCCGTCAGTTATTGAGGCGGCACGGACAGGTCTTCGGCGGCACTTCGGCGGCAGCCCAATCGATTTTTTTTTTCGCCGCTTGGGGTGGCAAAAAAACTGGAGATGGCCCTGCCTACTCTCCCCAGCAGGAACCCCCAGAGCCTTACCAGGGGAGCATCCCACACTTCCCCTGGCCCTCTCACTGCTTCCCTGGGGCCAGCTCTCCAGTGTGGAGGGGAGTAAGCCCTGCTGCTCTTCCCATCTTCAGCCCTCTCCAGTCCTGGGCTGCAGCTTAGATATCAGCAGGCAACTCCCACTGCTGCTCTCTGGCCTTCAGCCTTGGCCCTCTGGCTTGGGGACACGTGCCAGCCACCAAACCCCTCTTGCTGCTCTCCTGTCTAGCCTTTTCCCAGGAACCAACTACAGCTTCCTTCCAGGATCTTCCACCATCCCCCTGGTGTGTGGAAGCTCTCACCTGACCTTTTCCTGACTGACTCAGTCTGTGCTCTAAGACCTGGGCTCACCCAGTCTCCCTCCTCTTTCAGTTTCTCCTTGATCCTTTATAGTTAGGGCCCTACCAAATTCCATTTTGGTCAATTTCACAGTCATGGGATTTAAAAAAATCATAAATTTCATGATTTCAGCTATTTAAATCTGAAATTTCATTATGTTGAAATTGTAGGGGTCCTGACCCAAAAAGGAGTTGGGGGGGGGGTCATAAAGTTATTGTAGGAGGGGTTGCGGTGTTGCTACCCTTACTTATGTGCTGCTACTGGCGGTGGCTCTGCCTCAGAGCTGGGCAGCTGGACAGCAGCGGCTGCTGGCCGGGAGCCCTGCTGCAAAGGCAGAAAAATCGCCAGCAGGAGCACAAAAGTAAGGGTGGCATGGTATGATATTGCCACCCTTACTTCTGCGCTGCTACTGGCGGGGTGCTGCCTGCAGAGCTGGGTGCTCAGCCAACAGCCACTACTCTCCAGCCTCCCAGCTCTGAAGGCAGCGCAGAAGGGTGGCAATGCTATGACCCCCCTAAAATAACCTTGCGACCCTGCTGCAAATTCCTTTGGGTAAGACCCCTAGTTTGAGAAAGGCTGGTCTTCCCTGTGAAATCTGTATAGTATAGGGTAAAGGCACACAAAAGACCAGATTTCACAGAGGGAGAGCAGATTTCCCAGTCCAGGATGCATTTTTCATGGCCGTGAATTTGGTAGGGCACTATTTATAGTCCCAGGTGCTGCCTTGGCCTCTTAACTGGCCAAACTGAGAGCACCTGCTCTGGCACAGTGGACCTGGACCTGCCTCCTTTACCACCCTGTGACACCCAGTGGCATAGGAAAGGAAGGCTCAATTTCCATTATTAATCTGCGGAGCCAGCCAGTCCTCCAGGGTCAGGTATATGGATAGCAGCATTAACCTTGGTGAGAGAGGCTTGAAGAGTCACTACTATGCTGGTGCTCCCAGGCACAAGGGAATGAGAACTCCTTGCCACTCAGTTGGTCTTCCTGAACCTCCTACCTGTTTGTGAGTTCCAGGGCACAGTGAGACACGCCCTTCCACTCTCCTGCCACACAAGAGGACTCCATGCATGCCAAGTGTCACCACCACACAGTGCAGTTGTGTCAGCAAGGGGCGGGTCAGGGTCATCGCAGTCCTGACAACATCCTCCAGCCTGGACGGCAGCTCTTTAGACAGCAATGGAAGAAAAGCCATGACATCACTTCAGACCACAAAGCTGCTGACTTGAGCTTTCCATGTCACTGGGATGTTGGCCTATTTGTGAGTGGTTTTCAAAGTCTAGCTGGGAGTTTACAGTGCTCTCGGAAAACGCTGACAGCATGAGCACAGGCAGCCACAGAGCTGATATATTGTGCAAACTTCCCACTCACAGTTCCCCCCTGTGCTTCTCATTCCTGACCTGCAACACTCCCCATCCCTATTCCAGTTCTGGTCTCCCACGTAGCCTCTCCAATGCACCTCCACTCCGAAATGAGGATACCAACTCTCATGAGTTTACACCTGTGTGTGTGTGCAGGGGACAAAATAACTGTGTCTGTGTCTTAATGTCATTGCGTTGGTGTCAGCATAGGGCGATGTTTCATTTCCTATAGAGACAGCATCACAGTCTGAAGACAAATACCATCATACTGTGATGCTTCATTGGGACATCTGAAATAAACTAGTGATCCTATTTGCTTGGTTGGGCTTGTAGCGTGCATGACAAAAACAGTGACTCAAACTCTAGGATATGTAGCAATCCCAGACCTGCAGCAGTCTCTGCTGGACTAGTTTTTTGCCTTATCTGAGTCAAGTTTCAGAGCTTGCGAAGATTTTGTGAGGTGGTCTAGATGCCTCATTAGTTAACCACGGTCTTTAGGTTCAGTGCATTTATTTTAACACACACACACACAACCAAAGGGGGACTGAAATAGAAATTAATTAAAATACAAGTCTGTGTACTAACCCTAGAAAATCCATGTTCTTTCAGGACACACAGAATGGTTACCAGCTCCTCTGCTTAGTGAACTGCAGCTTCTAAGCTAGTTCATCACTCCTCTGCCCAAAGCTGGCCTTCCCTGCTTCTTGGGCTTTGTAAAATCTCCAGCTGCTGTAGCTGTTTTGGTAACCTAAGTTAACTCTTCTGGAGGCAGTACTATGACAAACAGCTCTGCTGTTTCTAGAAGTGCTGGTTCAGCATAGTGAGGGACTTGCGGTCAGTGGAAGCAGTCAGTCTGGAATGGCGGCAGGGGTGGGGAAAACGCAGCTCCCTGTGCAGTGTCTAGGTTAATCTGAAAGTATTGCTCTCTCGCTACCACATCACTGTACTGTACCTGCCGGCACAGGGTGCCCGAGGGTCCGATTTATTGCCCTTAGTTCTCGCAGATTGGGGGAGATGTAGGTCAGCGCTCTCCAGCTGTCTGAAAGGAAGGGCTTAGAAGCCTTGTTTTCATCTGTCGGCTCATAGCACACTTCAAAACAAAATTGTAGTTGGTTAGCCGATATAACAATCTCTCTGCTTCAGGACAGGCAGATATTTGGAATGCTCGCTGTGATTTTTACAATGTTTGGTATCTACACTTTATTTTAGTTAGCTATCTTCAATCTCCCTTTCTGCTGCAACAGTAATGATTCCCCTGCTTCTGGCTCTGGGGTGATGTGATGAGAGGCAGATTCAGGAATGGGCATTTAGTTTGATAGACAGGCCAGTGAGCCAGCCAGCCAGCCAGCCAGCAGGAACTATCTTTGTAGTCTCTGCTCACTGGCTGAATCTAGAGAACTGTCTCCCCCTACAGAGCTTACTTCTGAAGAAGATGAGGGAACAATTCTGAAGTCTGAAGATGGGTTGTGAAGAGTCTTCAGCAAACCAAGAAGGGGCCAGTGTATTTCACAAGAAGCAGGGGGGCAAATCATTTAAAAAAATAGGTAAGTTAAAATGTATTGCTTTGCTGAATGCCACAAACCATGGGAGACATACAGCATACAAGTCTGTGCCTGCCTCAGCTTTCAGCTTAGCTTTTCAGTTCACCTTTAACCTTTGCTGGTTTTCTGTCAGTGCTGGGGCAGTATAGGTTACCCTTATAAAAATCTGATGTAGCTGCAGAATAAGAAAAACTAAAAATATATGAAAACATATTTCATATATTTTTTAAAAACCATGGGGGAGGAGGGGAATAACTTGAGATGCAAGATAGTGTTGGTGCCTTCAACTCTCAGTCTCTCATTGAAGTTAGCAGGAGCTGAGGGTGCTCAGCACCTTGCGGGTCATATTTCAGAACATGCACGATTATGCCCCAAGGGGTCCATCTGCAGTGAGTTCTCCTTACCTGCTATCTGGTGCTCTCTAGCAATTTCACAGACGTACTGAATGGTGGCAACTGGCACGTTCCCATCAATACATACCAATGGAGCCAAGCATAGACTCTTCTTGAACTTGCACACCTAGTGAAAATACAGAACACAGAACAGGGGCAGCTTGATCCAACTTGATCCAGCTTGACACAATTGGACAAGAATGAGATTTGCAAACCTAGCGCATCTTGCTGATAGACTCAGGTGGCTAGGATGTATTTGAAATATCAATTTTTGCTGAAACTCTTAGATGCAGGCTTGACGTGAACCAAGAAGAACATTTTCCGAGAAAAAGCAGGTTTTACAGGTTCTCAATTTTTTTTCCTTCTCTTTCCCATCCTCCACTACCAAGCCTTGTACCAGACCAGCCTGTCCTCCTCACAGAGGAAGGTTGCTGGTGGCTCCCCCTCAAGATCTTTACTGCTGCTCCTATATCAACTGAAGGTCTCTAGGGAGCAAAATGAGATGCTTCCTCCCCTTTGAGGTCCAGTGGGGTGCCTCTGCAGGGCTCCCAAACTCTGCTAGGCCAGGGAACAAGTGACTACATCTCATTCTCAGATCCCCATATGTCAGTCCATTGCAGTACCAACACTAAATTGCAGGACTATCTTGGAGAGGAGCTATTAATACTTACAATGTGTCTCATAGTCAAGCCAGAATGATTAGAGAGGGCAGTTTATTCAGACCCTTGAAAATATTTTATTTCAACGGCAGCTAGACACCTAAATGCCTTTTGAGACCTGGCCCTTTTTCAATAACAGGTCTAAACCAAAACAATAGAAATAACTGGCCACATTCAGACCTGATCTAAACAAATGCACCGGGTCTGAATTCAGCCTAACATGTATCTCTCTGAAGCCTTGTGAAGGTATAAATAGAAGATAGGAGTACGAAGGTGACAAAAGACTGATCTGAGTTAGAAGAGGACATCCCAACATATAATGGTGACAGAGCCGTCAGTCTAGCACCAGATTCCTTTATCATAATGAGTACCTGCCACCCAAGAAATCCTACCAAATGCACTACCTGCATATGAAGCCTGTGCTGAATGTCAGAAGGAAAAGAGGTTAGCATTCAACCCATTTGGGGAGAGGAGCTAGCTAGAAATTGCCTGCACACTATGAAGGCCATGGAGAAATCACCAAAACCAGACCAACTTTCTAGCCAAGACTTTCAGAAGTGGGGTGCCTAAAGTTAGGCTCCAAACGCCATACTTAGCCCATAGGAGCCTCTAAGTGCTCCCTACCTTGGAAAATCAGACAACTTTTTAGGGGCCTGAATATGGACACAGGAGCCTAACTTTAAGCACTGTCTTAAGCCTTTCAGCTCCTATGTGTGTTACACTGAACATATCCCACTCACAGGCCTTCAAACTCCCACATTCATACTTAACCCTCTATATTCCTGGATCTTCAAATCACTCCCCTTCTTTCTGTGTTTGTGTCTATTACTCCATTTGCAGGCCTTCAAATGCCCCCAATTTTTTATGCATAACCTGTTAACTGGCCTTTAAACATCCATCCAGGAAATCTTATTTCCCCTCTGCCTTTATCTCTCAGGTCTGAGGCTTTACCTCAATGCAATCATCTTTCCCTCCAGTGAGAACTGAACTGAGATTCTCTTCAGCATGCATCATCTTTGCTGCTCCCTAATTACCCAAAGGGGTCACAGGTGTGAAATCAAGTTTTCCCTCTCCCAGGGGCTGAAGATACTGTCTCTATGGTACTTCCAGATCTTGACCACCTGGGCGGTGAATGGCAGCAGAGAGCAGAGGGACTGATCACTTAAGTAAGCAGCCCAGTATTTCTTGTTACTCAGCTAGAAATATTAAGGTAGGACATGTTCATTTTAGCAAACGCTTCCTATCACAGTAGTCATCTCCCATAACCATGGCATCCCTGAGGCAGACGTGCAGAATTCAGAGACACTGTGATAATGTATGTCCCAGCCCTGTTGTGGCTCTTTGTGGCTGGCGTGACAACACGCTGCACAAATGGCTGCCACGTGCCGTCGACTTCCATCCCTACTCCAGCAGTCTCTCGCTCTCTCACACGTCTCTGCTAAATTTCCTTGAAGTAAACATCACCACAATGCAGCTTTCATCAGTAGCTAGGCTCAGAGTTTCCATTGGTTATTTTGCAAAGCTCCTGAGGATTAACCCATCATGTAATGGTTTTGTTTTCCTGTCTGATGGCAAGGTGTGGGGAGGGGAAAGGTGGAGATGGAAGTGGGAGCAGTGATCACTTTTTCCCCCTAGGAATTCTGAACCTCCTGGGGCTCCCGCTGATAAGTAAATTACACTTGCCTTCCAAATCACCATCAGTTGTTAAGTACAGGCTCTTGTTTTGTCAACAGTGGAATTAGTGGTGGAAGGGGGTAGGGCTGTGGGGGTTTGTTTGTTTGAATCAATCTTTAATCATCACTTCCATTAGTGTCCTGAAACCTTCCCTAACCACCAGGCTGAGAAGCAGAATCTGTTTAGCTGTGTTTAAATAGCTCAGCATGTAGAAACAGAGAGGACGGGGGAGTAGAGAGAAGGTGATGGGACAGGAAAATGGGCTTTCGGGGCCCTATCCATGCTTCCTATTTTGGTTTCCAAAGGAGAAACACCATCTCCAGGTCGGTGGGCATGAAGTTACTGAGGGCTCAAAGGGGCCTTGAGAAATAGGCTGCCTTGGATTAGTTTTCGAGAAGTCTGTGGCACAGACGTTGTGGATAGGGCAGCATTGATGACCTTCAGTTGGGAAAAGAACGTTTTCTGTTTCCATCTGGCTAGCTGGAAATAAGTAGCTTTGGCTGGACAGCAGCTTGCTGCAGTGCCATTTCACTGACCCAAGTTTGAGGCTACCCTTAGGCTTCCACAGGTTGATGCTGCTTTCAGTATGCCGCCACTTGCAATGTATAATTATGTTATCTAGGCATCCTCCACCCACAAGCACGTGCACACACGTGCACTAGATACTTGCAGCTGTCACACATCCAGGCTCCTCCTTATGAGTGAAGGACTACAGGTCAGAGGGAGTCCTTACATGTTGCTCCGTTATCTGCTGGTGGATGTCCATGTCTCCCAAGCCAAGGCTGAGCTCCCCGCTGCCTGTAATCACTGCACAGTAGGTGGCTGTACTGTGCCCCGCAAGCTGAAGGACTCCTGCCATGTCCTAAAACAGGAGGAAGAGTCATAAATGGAGTAAATTTCCCTTCTCTATCACACTCAGCTGACTTCAGGTTTCTCTTCCCCCAGCAGACAGCCTCATGGCAGCCCACCTATCTGTTCTCAGTTCCACTTCCTCCCTGTCTTGAGCTGAGCAACATCAGTGAGGAATCCCACAATACCCAGTGTGGACAGTACTGGTTGGTGGTTTGTTTTTAATGGGTGTAAGGCACCCAGGCTCCATAGAGATGAGTACCTAATACATTATTTAGTAAATGGAAGTGACAGATCTCTCCAATAGAGTTTGGTAAAGCCCTGCCTGCACCCTGCCCCCACCTCTTTCTGATGCTCTGCCTGAGGAAGGAAGGGGGTCTCCGACTTCTCGTATTTATATGGATGATAAGCCAGACACATCCCACTGATGCACAATACAGTCAGTAGGTTGAAGAAAGCCAGCTAGTTCCCTCCCAGTCCTGCCAGTTTTGGTCCAATGTTCTAATGCAAGCAAGTACCACTGAGCTATTATCCTAGGTAGATTTTTTCTGCCTGCATTCAGGAGAATGATGGCACAGGTTAGAGAGCTGTGAGCATTTAGATGAGGTAGGGGATTATACACATGCAACTCTGGGGTTTCTGTACACCAAAGAAGTTCAATTATCATCTCTGTTCCTCTGAGGAACTGTCATTGCATGACCTACCATGTGGTGGCAGTAACGCAAGATGGACTCTGAATATTCATCCTTCCCCAGAGCTGAGATAAAGAGAGGGGTCTTCCCAAGACGGCTTAAACAATCTAAAAACAAATGGCAAGGGAGCAAGATTATAATCCCAGCAGAGGACAGCATGCTTGAGCGCAAATTCCAGCCTGTGAAGGGTGAAACCTTTGAGCATTTGTAGGAAGGCTCTTCTTGGAAAAACCGGTGCCCTTCTCCCCATCTACCAGTCCCTTTCTAGTATGTCTTCAGCAGAACGCTCTATCAGGGCTCCCTGTGGCTGCCCATCAGTCTGTCTGGCATGGGGAAAAGACAAGTTTATATGCTGGTCTTCTGCCACAGAAACTTTTGGCTGTGTGGCTAGTTTGGTTTGGTAATGGGGGAAGTGGAAAGGTGGGCAAGGAAGAAACACCCGCAAACAACACCTTTCTTCCTTGGGATCCCACCTACAGAATTGCAACCCAGAGTTTCCCCCCATCATTTCTATGCATGGACTCTGTGGGTATGTCTACACATCATTTTGGAGTGAGCCTCCAAGCCTGGGTCGACAACCTCGGGGTAGTGCTTTAAACATGGCAGTGTAGACAGCACTTTGAAGCTGCGGCTTGGATTCTGAAGCCTATGGAAGTGGATGGGCTTCAGAACCCAAGTTCCAGCACGAGCTGCACCTTCAGAGCGCTGTCTACACAGCTATTTTTAGAGCACTCGCACAAGCCCCGCTAACCTGAATCTATCAACTCAGGCTGGGAGACTCACTCCAAAAAGCTGTGTAGACATACCCTATCACCGCTAGACTTCCTATTCCACTGCTCCAGCTGTACCTTGGACTAGAACTGACTCCGAGAGGAGAATGAGTTTCCCAAGCTATCACAAATATTTCACTTGCATGGACTTGTTTTTTAAAGCCCGTCCGTTCCTTGCTCTGAGGTGATGGCAGATTCACATTAGCAAGCTTTGGGGACTGACCACAAAGCTTAAACTCCAGGGTTCACAGATTCCAAGGCCAGAAGGAACCAATGTGATCATCTAGTCTGACCTCCTGTATAACACAGGCCAGAGAACTTCCCCAAAATAATTCCAGGAGCAGATCTTTTAGAAAAACATCCATTCTTGATCACAGTCTGTAAGTACCTATGTGGGGAACAAATATTTGGTAATGGGCTCTTCAATCTAGCAGAGAAAGGTATAACAGGATCCAATAGTTGTGAGTTGAAGCTAGATAAATTCAGACTGGAAATAAGGCATAAATGTTGAGTAGTGTGGGTAATTAACAATTGGAACAACTTACCAAAGGTTATGGTGGATTCTCCACCACTGAAGATTTTTAAATCAAGTCACCCCTTAACCTTCTCTTTGATAAACTAAATAGATTGGGCTTGTTGAGTCTATCATTATAAGGCACATTTTCTAATCCTTTAATCATTCTCGTGGCTCTTCTCTGAACTGTCTCCAATTTATCAACATCCTTCTTGAATTGTGGATACCAGAACTTTGTACATAGTATTCCAGCAGCAGTCAAACCAATGCCAAAGGCAGAGGTGAAATAACTTCTCTGCTCCTACATGAGCTACATTAGGGTTTTTTCTGTAAACCTTCTCTCCTTTCCCCAAATTAACAACATTTCAAGCTCTGCTCATTACGGCACCAGTAAACCTGGGCTACTGGAGTGGTGCCAATAACTTTACAGCACATATCTTATGATGTCACCCTAATGATCACAGCCTTGAAGGTCCCTTTGTCTGCTTCTCCCACAAATATTTCCATGCTTGCCCTTTATGCGTGGAAATATCCTCACTGAGTTAATCTCTAAAGCTACTGTGGCTCCTGTAGGAAGTCAGCTAATAACTGCTGCAAACCTGGTCAGCATTAATCAGGGAAGACTGATGTTTGTTGGTTTAATTCTGATTTGGAGCCATTGCACTGTGAAATAGTTACTGCATGTAATTACAAGACCTTATTTTCATTTCCCTTGCCTGCCCTCCAGCCCTCCCCTTCTATTTCTTGTAATGCCCACTTATTGCATCTGGTTTCCTAATAGATTGTAAGCTCTTCAGGGGAGGGACTGTGTTTGTACAGTGTCTAGCACCGTGGGGCTCTGATCCTGATTGGGGCTTAGTCACTCCTGCAATACAAACAATACACAATAAACCATTACTTACATGCCCCCACAAACAAAACCCACCACTAAGCACCTGCCAGGTTTCTCCCCACACCTCCAAAAGATTGGCTCACTTGCCCAGCATTTGTCTGTCCGCCAGCCTGCAAGAGTAAATCGGAAGTTAGTAGAGTTGGGAAAGTTGAATAGAACAGAGAGAATTTCTCTGAATATGTTTAAAGTGAACTGAATGCTTCTGAAATGATAGGCTTGACACAGCTGTGGAGACTGATGTCCTCTAGCTTCAGAACAAAAAACAGTGCAAGCTTTCCTATCCTATTCGCCTGCTTCAACTCTGAGCAGAAAGGACCACTTCGGGGGGTTGGTCGGAGGGCAGTTCATGCTCCTAGTTCATTGAATATTTTGGCCTTATGTGCTGAGACTACTTACAAGGATGCCAACTGTAGTGTTTTATGTGATCTGAACAGTTCTGTACTAAGATAGTGACCAACTCAGACTAGAGTTGAACCACCGGGCCTTGGGCAAAAGGCCCTGTATTCCATTACCAGCCTCCAACCCATTCAGTCCCTCATTTAAGCAGTGTAGAAATATCATTCTTAAATCATTTAATAGATATTGATGTCTGCCTATGCTGTGCATCCTTCTCTCTGTCCCCGGAAGTGTCTGCTTCACAATCTATATATCCTTTCCCTCTCCATTCTCTTCCTAAATGTCTCTGTCCTCATAAATGCCCTTCTGTCCCATCTGTCTGGCTGCTGCTTTCTCTCTCCTCCTGCCCATTCCTTCAACTTTCTCTCGCTTTTTTTAAAGCGCTCTGTCAGTCTGTCACATACATGGCCAGATTCTGGACTGTGGAACAAACTCTGCTTTCCCCCACCAGTACATTACCTCACCTGGCTCTTGCTGAGATGCAGCAGCCCCAAATTCTTCAGCTAGAAACAGGACAGGCTACTTGCCTCCCCTGACCTGGCAGGTGAAAGATCTCTCTCAAGTCAGTTGAGGTGTCATCGCTTATTATCAAAAGGTCTTAGAGCTCTTAGCGCATGAACCAGAGAAAGAACGTTTTTCTGTTCTGCAGTAGGCTTCTATCCAGGGAGGTCGTGAGGATTATCATTGCTCTGGAAATCCCAGAGATTAACATAAGGACATAAGAATGGCCATACTGGGTCAGACCAAAGGTCCATCCAGCCCAGTATCCTGTCTACCGACAGTGACCAATGCCAGATGCCCCAGAGGGAGTGAACCTAACAGGTAATGATCTCTCTCCTGCCATCCATCTCCACGCTCTAACAAACAGAGGCTAGGGACACCATTCCTTACCCATCCTGGCTAATAGCCATTAATGGACTTAACCTCCGTGAGTTTATACAGTTCTCTTTTAAACCCTGTTATAGTCCCAGCCTTCACAACCTCCTCAGGCAACGAGTTCCACAGGTTGACTGTGCACTGAGTGAAGAAGAACTTCCTTTTATTTGTTTTAAACCTGCTACCCATTAATTTCATTTGGTAGCCCTTAGTTCTTATATTATGGGAACAAGTAAATAACTTTTCCTTATTCACTTTCTCCACACCACTCATGATTTTATAGACCTCTATCATATCCTCCCTTAGTCTCCTTTTTTCTAAGCTGAAAAGTCCTAGCCTCTTTAATCTCTCCTCATATGGGACCCATTCCAAACCCCTAATCATTTTAGTAAAAGATTTAGTAAATCTTTAGTAAAAGATTTAAAGGCAGGGAGGAATATTTTCCAAGCATAGGTTTAAACACGGGTGCCAAGTGCCAAAATGCGTCCCCAGCCAGCCCCCGGTAGGTGCCAGAGACGGGGGCAAAAGGGCCACTGCCCCCACCCCTTTTAAAAAACCTGAAATGCTCATAGCCAGGGGCACGATTTAGGTGGAAGGACAGTTGCCCCCCGCCCAGTGATCCTGCATCCTGGGGAGTCCTGACTGAGGTGCAGTGTAGCTTCCCTGGGTTGCAAATAAACTGCATCCCTTTCCCCCTGAGCCGGGAGGACAGGCTGCAGCTGGTGCGCTAAACTGACCCCAGGGCTGCTCCAGAGCACTGCCCTCACTCGGAGAGTCATGACTGACCTCCCCACATGGAACCCCATGTGCCTGCAGCATCTGCAATCGTTCGAATCTCTGACTTAACAGAACAAACTAGAAGGGTCATGCTTTCATAAATATTTATACCAACTGTACTGTAAATCTAAATGGGGAAACGTTGTCTGCAAAGGCTCAGACAAAGAGGATGACCTGAAGGACTAATAGTCAGACTGCATGCAGCCCACAATGATGCAGAGACAGGCAGTTTGCTGCATATAAAAGTGAAATGAGCAATCGAGATCCAAGAGTCCTGAAGATACTCAGTCATCTTCATACCACCGTGTCTTTGCCACCTGAGAGAGAATTCCAGTGGAACACCACCACCTATTTCGGCTACATAGCTGTTATCACTAACAAAATGAACTCACACAGCCTCCCAGTGGCTGCTGGAGATGCTTGCAGTCAGAGAAGTTACTAGACACATTTTCTGGCAATGCCATCGGAACCAAACTTTCTGATGTCACATAAGTAGCCTGAAAAATACCTTTGTAACAATCTTCACATTGGGTCATTTACATGGATTGAATCTGGAGCATCAGCACCAAAAGCCAGGCCCCTACCACATGAGCTATACATATAATGCCATTAGCTGGTATTACAAGTAGGGTTTTATCTTGTAAACGCCTATTAGTGCTACCAACTACCAGATTTACTCATTTAACTGGTAGAGGAGCAGTAGACTCATCCTCTATGCGGAGTAGTCATTAGAGAGGGACAAAACATAGCCCATGTGTTATACCTTTAGTATGTGGTTTAATACAAATCCAACTTACTGTATTCAAGGAAATATTTCCAAATACAGAAAGTAATATTATGGATTATTTCCCACTGCAGAATGCCACCTATTCACAATAGCAACTGTAGTTGTTGAGAAATGTATTGCTATGCTATAGCTCACAAAAGAATCTTACGATTTAAGGTGAGACTAGACAACATACAAGGAAAAGTGGGCTTTAGAAAAATCTACTACTCACAACATATAATTTCAAACTAAAATACAGACACAGAATAATTCCAGCCTTCCAGGAAAAATATCCCAACAGAAATCAAGGCCCCATTGTACTAAAAACTAGACAGGAGAGAAAGAAAGGCAGGAAGAAAGAATTACTATTATCCTCATTTTAGATCAAGGAAAATAAGCACAGAGAAATTAAGTTTGTGTCAGACTCCAGGAATTAAACTCTTATCTCCTGATTTCTAGGTCAGTGCTGTAATCACAAGGCTACCCTACCTTCCCAAGTTTTTAGTCACCTGCATTTCTGCCTGCTACTTATTTAGCAGTTCATGCTCTATTGCACTATGCATACTGGAAGCTGGAAAAAAGCCAGTAACAATAAATTGTTAATACTCTGGAGTTACTATCTGTTCTCATCATTTAGTTGTGTAACTGCCTATATAGTCTGTGAATCTAACAGCTTTCTCAGTTGTGTACAATTCTGTAACACACAGCTAAACAGTTATTTAAAAGGAAAGAAACTCTTGTCTTGTCCATAGCATATACCAAACAGCAAATGCTCATTTTGCCTAGCTGCAATGACCAACTCAGCAATGAGCTAATCCTTTGGCATCTATTACATCTTTGTATCTTTTTTATATTTTGACCCCATTTTCAATAAAACTGTTTTACGGTACTATAAAAGAAAGTGCTGGCACTTCACTCCTGCAGGGAAATGGTGTCAGAATGCAGGGCCCATTGATGAGAGATTTACACTTTTTCAGTTGTTCTGGGCCAAGTCTAAAAGTGTTGCTCCTTCCCTCTGCCCCCCCCCCCCAAACCGCCCATAAGACTGGGATGTAAAAGTATTGTCCCTGAGAGCACCAGCATCGGATCTGGCAAACAGTCAAAACTTCACATATTCACAAATGTGCATTGAATGCTGTCCCAGAGACCATAGAACCTTATGTAAGAGGACTCTTGTCCCCTTACTAAAACTCAATGGGGGTGTTTTAGTTGCTAGCTGCCAGCACCAAAAGAAAGGGGAAGGGGTCCATGGGAAATCAGGACCCTGAGACTGACAGTCCCCAGGAACAATGGGAAGAGACCAATGCTCCAGGTCAGCCTGATTGACAGGGTGGGCAGGCTAATCAGGGAGTCAGGAGGCAGCTGGGGGGAGAAGAGCCCGTCCTCTGTGTGAGCTGGATTTGCCTGGGTCAGACAGAGTGGGGCCGAGCTAAGGAGATAGCAGGGGCCCAAGCTGAGCTGGGGAGCAGAGCTGTTCCAGATCCGGGGGGGCCAGAAAAACAGACCAGGAAGCAGGTTAATGCTGGGAGCAGAGTCACAGAAGCAGCCCACAGAGCAGACCTGTCCTGGGAGCAGAGCTGCAGCAACCGGAGCCAGAGGGGCCAGAGAAGCAGCCCAGGGAGCTGGAGGCAGAGTGGAGCTGGAGCTGGAGCAGTCTGGAGCTGGGTGCGGTGAGCAGCTGGGGAGAGCGAGGAGGATCCTGGGCAGCAGGCCCAGCCCAGGGAGACACCCCCAGCCAAGAGGCCTTGCAGGCCAGGCAGGGCAGGGGCTGGGAAGAAGGGTCCTGCCACCTAGAGCCTGAGGGTGTGTGGCCACCGCCAGAGCAAGTGTCTGACCGCAGCATCCCTGCAGCACAGCCAGGGCCTGGGTGGGAGGCCTGGTACTTGTAAGGAACAGACTGAACTTCCCTTACATTCCAGATATGCTGGTTGTGATGTCCCTGTGCCACAGAGCAGGGTTCTCTGTTTTCGTTTCACCTTTCCCATTTTTTCCTTATTTTTTTTAATTGATTGCTGTTTAATAAACTATATTTGCTTTTAACTGTATGTAATGACAGTGGGACAGGGAAGCATCCAGTGTAGAGAGAGCACCCCGGAGTGGGGACACCCTAGCCCCTGCCCTAAGTGACCACAACGAGGTTGGGGGGTCGAGCCCCCCAGGAATCCTGGGCCAAGCCTTCTTGGGTTTATGAGGACTCTGCCACACAGGAGAGTGGAAGGGGAGCCCTTGAGGTCAGGAAGGCCTCTGGGTAAAGGGAATGGGAGCGAGGACTCAGATCCTTTCACCAGCCTATTT